TCCATAAATGCAAAACCTCCATAAATGCAACGTAGCACTCGGTCCCAAGGCGTTGCATTTATGGAGGTTTTACTGTACTCGTTTTTTTATACTACTATTGCTGTTAACTGTAACATATTTTTAGACCTGACAAGTTTACATTTTGGTTTAATAGGTGTAATGTGGCATTTGAAACTTAAAAATAAGGGTAAAAACAGTTTGTGCATTTGCGGTTTATTGTTTATATTCTAAACTGCTGTTCTACTCAAATTGATAACAAAACGTCCAAAACGGGATAGGAGACGCTATCAACAAAAAGACAAAGTCACACACCTACCGCCATTACTTTGGCTCAGTACTGTAGTAATCCTCTACTTGTACCCAAACTACGGTGCCAACGACTAATAAACAGCAATTCAATGATTGTTGAATCGAAGGGGAATTAATTTTTTAATTTGACATGTTATTAACATGTTACTCGTTATTATTTTATTATAAATTTATCAATTAGAAGTGTAAGAGACTAGTGTCGACCGATCGGTGCTTTCCGCCATCTGCGTAATTACGTATCAATGTCTTTCGAGCGTTTCCGCTCCGTTAGATAGTAACCGAATCGTATCAACTCTTAGACTCCATAGAAATTAACGTAATTTAAAGTTTAAACATGATCATTATGATGATGAACCTGCAACTGTGATGAAATTTTCACCCACATTCATAACCATTTCGCAGCAGACATTACTACGCGTCTTACTACGCCCGTGTCAAAATTTTAGGAGAAAAAACATCTAATCATAGCAAATTAGAATTTCGCATGGGGATTACCAATTTTGATCATGAGTTTGCAGGAAGATTTGTCGCCTATCTGTTTCATCAAACAGACTCGCGGCATCCTTTATAAGCGACAGTGGAGAAAACCATGAATTCTATCAATTAGCCAGTGGAATTCTTTGCCTTGCATGTGTTAAGAGGAGAGTGGGAAGGCGTCTGTTCTGCTGAAAATCTATATCCCACGGTACTCGAAAAATCTCCCCCAAGTAGCATTGAAATAGCACAAATTCTACCGCGTAATGACATGTACAGTATCACGGGCGTCCATGAACGTTAAATATCATGTGTGCCAAGAGTGCGTCATGATTTTTTACTCAAAACTGATTTACACAATCAAATGTATTGCCCAAGTTTCTGCAATATTTGATTGTTGATAGAAAAATAACGATTGGTAAGATTTTGAGGGAAATGCATTCGAATAATAAAATGTTGCTCGCTTGAAGACATTATAATTAATAAAGCCAAGCCAAGAAAGAGTGTAAGACGTATTTTTATAAATACGGAAATAGTACTAAAATTAGAAGCCATTGTACAGTATATGCAGAGGTTACACAGTGTATAAGGATTTAATATCCCAATTGATCTATTCAAATATTAATGTTAATTAATGTAGACAACATCGCATATTTGTGAGCATAAACCTTTCTACTTGCACCCATCTGATTTGTCTGATTGATTATTTTTTTTAACTATAATAATAAGATCAGCGTAATTGTTTTTTACCAATCGTATCTGAAAATTCAAGAGAGTTACATGTATGCATGCCACATATTTAAGCGCAATTTACAAAACTTAAACAAGAATCAACCTGGTATAATAATGTAAGTAATCATTGTAATACAAATATACATTTTGCTTTTACGTATCGATCAATTGCAAAGCATTGAGCTTGGTGGATTGCTAAAATAGGCACAGCGCGCAATTGTGCATATTAATGTGTGGTATAATTGATCTGACCCCACCCATAAGTAGTGAAAAAGAATAACGTCCCATTAAACAAATCTACTATACTAACACTTAATATTAATAATAATGCTGTTTTATAAACAAAATTTTCTCGAGATAATATTCAAAATGAAAACAATGAAGACGATGAGATTAACGTTCTTGACCTTCTGATAGTTCCCAAGATACAAACAGATAAAATTGTGTCCATACATATCCTTCTGGCTAATCGCATTGTTTACTCTTTCGACCTCTGAATTGTCATATTTAATACATATCATGTGATAATATGTGATCCTACTGTGTGACATTCCGATAACCTGTTACATTCGAAGTTCAGGAAAAAAGATTGCAAAGTAATACTTCCATACAAAAACTCGAAATTGACCAAAGTCACCAGCTACCAATTTCATAACACACACCTCGTTTCTTTTCCTGCCGAAGTCCCTGAACGATGGGTCTGTATTTAATATTAGTTGGTGATGAATTTTTGTTGCACTGATTATAATTTAACGTTCACGCGGGTTTTAGCTGCCAAGAAGAAAGGAACGAAGATGTCCTTGGGCGATTTCTTGACTGATCCATGTAAGTGAAAGGACCTTAACACTGCCAACAGGAAAGTCATTCAATCTCTAACAAAATTTGATATTATAGCGACTGGCTCCTGGGCTGATGAAATGGAGGGTCTACCTTCTGCCCGTAAGTTTTCTCTCACACATATTATCTCTATCTCACTAATGATATACTACTAAACGAGCAGTACCTCTTCCGTTTAGCTGCCGCCGCCTATTCAGGTAATATGACTTGCTTATCAACCACCCACCAGCAACCATTGTTTTTGTCACTATAGGTAAATTTTGCTACTTCACTTTCTAGATCAAGGAGATCACGATGATCGCCGTGGCGGTTATGGAGATAAAAGAAGTTTTTCTGGCGGTCGAAACTATTCACGGGGTGAGTTTTTTTCGCTCCCTCTCTGATTATTGAACGATATTACGTTAATTGGGAATATTGGCAGATTCTCGCTATGACTCTCGAGATTCTCCGCGTGATTCAAGATTTCCGAGTCGCTCGGAGAGGGTACCGCAAACACTTCCGACAGCCCCGCCGTATACAGCACATTTAGGTAATTTACCATTCGATCTCGACGAACACGACATCCATGAATTTTTCCGTGGGTCCAAGGTTTGTGGGAATGACAGCTTTACGTGATGAACATATATATGTTTGGCTCAATCTTTGTAATTACCCGCATTAGATAGCAACTGTTAGAATACTCCGTGATAGAGATAGAGACGATCGATCCAAAGGCTTTGGCTACGTTGAATTTCAAGATTTACAATCATTATCCGGAGCGTTAGAATTAAATAACGAGGTAGGAGAGATTACGTTAAAGTTCTACAAGGCAGCTGGTAGTCAGCGAAGACTGATCTATAAGCGACCTCATAACATTTGTAAGCAATAATATGACTTTCGACAATTGCATTCAATGTCTATTTTTGTCTGTTACAACGGTTGTTTTCATTTTCTACGATTAGACACTTCGTGGGAGGCCTATCAGAGTCAGCGTAGCTGATCCACGTAAGTTGACGAATTGTCTATGCACATCTTCGTATGAAACAGTATGTAACGCTTACGTCTTGTCTTCCGCAATTAGCACGTGAACGAGAACCAAGAGAAGATCGTACTGCTGGTGAGTGGCGACGTGCGATGCCAAGAGATTCACCGGTCTCATCTCCCCGAAACGACCGGTTTAACAGTAACGATAGGTTTGGACACCGAGATGGGAGGTGGTCAGAGCGTGGCAGTTTTCGCGATCGCGGAATAGATCGGCCGGGAGATCGAAATGATCGTTTCGAAAGAGGCGGATTTGACCGTCCTGATCAGGGAGACCGCGGCAATGTGGATAGATCTGACGGTAGTAAAACTGATATTCAGTGGAGAGGCGGTGGGTTTGGCAACAAACCCGGAATGACCCGAGAACGGCGAGGAGAAGAGAGACATGGTAACGGTTCAATCATTTTACACGCATTGACGTTGACTTCTTTCTAACATGCTCACTTTGGTATTTCTAATAAGGGCCTTCAAGTGTGTCTCCACCACCGATGCGTAAGAAGCTTGAACTTAAACCTCGGACCGTCGATGTCTCACCCCCACCTTCTGAGCTTGCTCCCACTACGCCGCGAAACAAACCAAACCCATTCGGAGAAGCAAAGCCGATAGACAACGATGAAGCTTTGAGACGGGTCGAGGAACGAAGACGACAGAAAGAGAAAGAACGTGAAGATAAGGGAAATCCCGAAGCACTCTCCGTCGCCGATGAAGAGGACACAGTGGACACAGTGGACACAGTGGACACAGTAGACACAGCTGTGGATGAAAATGGAGATGCGGAATAGCTGAGGAAAATTTTTGAGAACTAGTTACGAGGACGAAACTGTATATGAATGAATTATATTAGGACAAATCAGAGAAAAGCGATTAATATTTAAGCTTATACCACTGGTATATACTTTTGTTTGTTTTATATGTAATACATAGCGTAACTTTCGAATATCTTTTATAATTAGACCTAGCAAAAGCTGGACCAAAAATCATTGCATACATACTCACTGAGCCCAACTAGTTGTTGGCTTCAATAAAGAGCAAAACAATTCTTGCAACGTTATTAATACCTTTTATTGGAGTGTAACACCTTCAAATGAGTTTATGGTAATGGATTTTACATTATAAGAGCTTGCAACGCTACGAAATAGCTGCCCCATTCTCCCGATTTGGGCACCACTTTTTCAATAAGAATAACGCGTAGCATAGGTTTTCACCAAAGAATAGGCTATACTCATCAATGGCGTGTATCAACTATGTCTGATTTTATTTCGACTTTTAAAATAGTAAAGCAAGCTCTTACAGCTAGACCAATATCAACGCGCTGACATACAATATAATACTTTGATCCATCACCATGCATTAAAAAGACACTATTACTATTATCCCATTTACGTATAATTGGCGTAAGAATAAGCTTAGTTTAATCATTTATAAACAACACGACAGCAAAAAGAGAACATTACACGACATTAATTCAGTACCTGGCGAGTAAATTTTGCGCGCCAACGGTTTTGTTATTGGTTGTGACTATAGAATTTATCGTCTTTAATTAGTGCTGCCGTATTAATTATATTATTAGTGAGGAGTCGTTATAGGTTAGGCCATTAGCCATGTAAGTTTATTCGTTCACGTGCATCAATTATCATTGGTCACAATCGATCCCATATATGTCGCACACTGATCGGTGTTACGCGTCTTTCCGTCGAAAAACATGAGGCGAGGAATAAGCTAAAGAAGAACGGAGAATCTGGATGAGAAAGTGGATAAATGAGAAGAGGAAATGTTCAAGTGTGGGGTGACGAAGCTTCGCATGCCGTGATGACTTGGTTAAGAGATAACAAATTTAACACATGCTCTTTTCATTATGCTCAGGCCATCAGTAACATTCTCAACACCACCAACGTGCAAAACAAGTTCCTGATATCGGCACATTTATAACGAACTATCTTATCAGATATCGAAATCATTATGATGGGTATATATGCACAGTATGTTGTTTGACTACATGATTTACAGTTGCTTCTCTCAGAAAAGGCGGAGGTTAACAGAAATTGCAGAGAGCAACAAGAAGCAATAAACTTGTTAATATGTAACTGCCTATGTAATTTTAATACATATCCGCCTATATATTAGCCAAACGGATTTTGCCTATTGCTAGCTAGCATAACAGGTCTTAACTTCTACACAAAGAGAAGCATTATTGCGCAAAAGCTGTAGGATGTCATCGAACAGCAGCTACAAGATGTGTTGCAGCTTGTGAATTGGGAGCATTCAAAAATAAGAACAAATATCTATACAAACAATTTGCTGAGGAAAATTTGTATTCGTGTATACCTCGAACCTTTCATTTCGCGCAATAGAAAAAAGACATTGGACTATGGAAGACTGGTCCATGTTTTCAGTTTCCGAAAGCCTGGTTGCAGTTGGGAGAAAAGTTAGGAGAGAATTCCCACAAAGGATGTAGCAAGATTCATTATGCGAAAAATCGAAAATGACGGCCAAAGTTTGTAATTTGCTAAGTTCAGAGCAAACTGGAAAGCTACTCATTATTAACTTAACAAATGTGTAGATTATCAACATTTTTTATACAATATATTGTACTTTATAATAAGTACGCCGAGTTGCTGGCATTGAGTAGACACATTCACACCAGACAACAAAGTGTTATATTCTTTATCGGCATCAAAACAGATACATTTAGCCAATTCCAAGTTGGATAATTGAGGGTTTTCAGCTTTTCGCTGACATATCTCCGGCACTCAACGTAACATAAGGCTTTTTGGATGGAAACAAACATATATGATGGAATAAAGAATCATCAAAATTTTTTATCACAAAATTAATACAGCCGGTCGAATAATCGGAAAAAGCTAATCAATTAACCCTTAAATGGAAATGATTGACCATGGTCGAATTAACGAACGTAGTTGTATACGTATATTGGTTGAATAGAAATTATTTAAGCGGTCGAATTAACTAACGAGTAATCGAAGTTTTATAAGTTCGATCGGAAGAAAAATCATATGGTCTCACTCAAGGTGATCGAATTACTGGAAAGGTCGAATTATGGGGGGGGTCGAATTATCGGCAATCGACTGTATTGTCCATACGTACTATGTAATCCACAATGATTTTGGTATCGTTTTGAAGCTAATTAATTGACACTTATGTTACGTAAGTGTAAATATTGTAGGTTACATAGTACATATGGACAATAGAGATTTTCGAAAATAAAGAGTTTTCATAGTAAATTTTGTGGTAACAAAGAAACTTGAAGCTGACGGAGGAATTAATTATACTAACATTCTGCGATAGAAAAACAAGCAATAGTAATAACATTTTTTTTCGTTATTTATCTGTTACAATGCATATATCTAAAAAAAAATGTTTCACCGCAGTTTGTGTATATGTAACTATCGATGCGTCATGTAAAATAAAAACAAAAACTTGAAATCCGTAATTTCGTGAGACTTTTTATTTTATTGGGTAATATATTCTGTTAACAAGGTCTTGGCGTTTAGACTTTTCTACTGACTCGAATTATATCACCTCAAGCGATATATTTTTCTTTGTTTTCTTTGCCATATTTAGGGAACGAAGAAAATTTATCAGTGATAGGTCGATTAAACACAGTTCTTTAGTAAAGATATAAATGATTTTGAATTTCGCGAAAAGTGGCATGTTATAATGACCTGATTTATGCTGTTGTGTTACTCAGGTCATAGAGTCAGCCCACAAACCAGATCCTAAATTACAAATGCAGAAATGAACGACAAAGGTCTAGTACTTGTGTATGCCAACCAATAAATTTAAGATCGCCTATATATAGAAATGACATGCTGTTTTAAACACAAATAGCATGCATAGTAAAGTGGGGGATATAAACGATTCCCATGATCATAATAAATATTACAGATATGGGAAATTGGGAATATTGAGGATAGGGATATATGGGAGATCCGTCCAGAATCAAAACTGGTCTATATCTGAGGGACGACTGTATATCGAAGAAATCCTATAATTTCTGCAGAAGAGATTGATGAGACTTCTTTCGCAACACAATAAAACAATGGCAAAGATATTACACTGAGATAAAATCCTATTGAAAACCTCTGGAAAAACGTAGACTTAAAATAAAAGTTTCTGGAATAATGTCCCAGATAGCCTTCCAATTAGTTTGGTAGAAAGAAGGGGGTGAACATATTAAGTTTAAACAATTGTACTGTACTTGCGCATTTCATATTTTGTAATAGGTATTTGACAAATTTGTCAATATATTTGGGGTAATTTACCTCCTAGAGTGCTAAGCTATCTCCCCTACCAAATTTAGAGCACCACCCTATACGAGTTTTCGAAATAATACTCACTCTTCTCTTATGAGACAATTGAACGCTGTACTGGCACTGATAGCATTAAGTCCCGAGGTTGGTCTATAGTGAATTTCTGGTTATAAGGATTCGTTATAACCAGATTAGACTGTACACTACCTATTTTTTTTACTAGCAAAACATATAAGATTTCTACCCTATGATTTTTTGACGTAGTAATCTATAAATTTATCTGTTGATAAGCAATATTAATGTGCAATGACATAAAAATCATGTTTCATTTATTTGAGGTATTTATTACTTGCTATTTTACCATCATGCCAAAAATGGTCCTTGAATTTTTCTGTTACCCATTTGTCAAGTATAGATAGACATCTTTGATCACCTATCACTTGCAAATTCTCCAAATAAAGGTTTGACTTGCTTAAATGGCAAATTTGGATTTTGATATTGTTCTGTGATGTTGAAAAGGGAAACACCCGGGGATCATTTGTGTTCAAGAATGAATAGATCGACTTCGTTGTTTAAGATCCTCAAATGTTATCTCCGATTTTTTTTCATTAAACCGATATAGTATATCGAATTCACCAATAAACAAAATCACAAGATCAGGCCATTCTTCAAAAATTCATCCCAAGAAGTTTGTAAAGAGTTGTACAATTCAGCTGATTTTTCGGAAACTACCTAATAAGAAATTTGCACTTTTCTCTATTGCTGTTACTGCACCTTTTCCATTTTTTGAAACCTGGAAAATATGTAAAAATGTATAGAAAAAGAGAGCAAAGCACTCCAAATAAAGTTATCATGACTTGTACCTGAAACTCTTCAAATTCAATTTTTCGTTTCCCTTCATAATAACAAATTTGACAGTACACAACAAGAAATTGAAACGGGATGACATTGGCCCTGTTTAGTAGTTAGCAATTAAACTAATTATAATGTTTCTTGTTGCTGGTTTATTCGGGAGCCATTTACATTCTCCCAAGAAACTCATAAGATAAACATATTACGTCCCCAACGCCCGAGTCACAAAGTCGTTACCTAGTTGAGTAGATGCTGTCAGCTCTTTCTCCTTCAGCATATCCAACAGTCCCTCATCTCTTTGCTAAGTCGAACAGTTTTTCCTCCAATGCTTCCAGCGTACTCCAAAGTTCTGCTGCTCCTCCGCCTTCCTCTTTTCTTTTTTTCGATGGTTGCTATTTTTCTTGTTCGCTTGTTTAGTAAAGAATATCACAAGATGAAATCCCGAGCCATACCTGATACATGCTTCATCTTTTATTGGTAATCACACTGTTTTATTGTTGTACATGTGCGGTTTCCGATTTTCACTTTTTATAAACGGTTTGCTAGTTCGCTTTGGATGTTGAATAAGCTTCTTACGTGCACTAAATTAAGAATGTTACATAGATACCAGTGACTGTAAGGTGGTACAAAATTTAGTATATCAAGTTTCCTTTGGCAACTGCCTCAACACAATTCTTGGCAAAAAAAACCAATAATATTTTATAGCAATAATACGGCTTTTTGGGGATATATCTGAAGCGGGATA